AGGCGAAGAGATGCGGGTAGCCGAAAACCTCCAGAAAACGGAACCGAAGAAACCACAGGGACACGGAAACGAACCCGGGGAGGAGCAGAACCCAAGCCCAAATCGTACACAGAGGGGGACAAAGAAAACCCCACTCCTTGCAACAGTAAGCCCCGCTCAGAAGGACGGAAATCCAGGCGGGGCGCAATGGAGCCCAAGGCCCCCAAGGCCGCTCCTCCCCAACCCCAGGAGCCTCTACACCAGGCCCCAGGGCCGAGTCGACCTCCAAAGCCCAGGCTCCACAAGAAAAAGCCGGGGCAGCCGAGAGAGCTGGAAGAGAAGGGGCCCACTGGTCAGACCCCGTAGCATCGGCCGGAGGAACAGACTCGAATGCCTCCGCAGCTACCCCGGACGGGGCAACCCCCTAAACTGCCCAAGTCTCAGAACCTCTAACCCCGCCCCGACCCCGAAGCCTGCAGATGCGTAGGAATCGGAAGCAGGAGGGGGAAAAACAAGGGGGCGTGGAAGGAACCAAGGCCGAAGCGACCAAAACCCCGAAGTCTGGGTCCCTACACAAAGCGGGACAGCCTCGGGGCGTCCGGGGAAGCGACAAACCCGAGCGCGTTGCAACAACCTACCCCGCAACACGCAAGCTGCCTGCACCCACGGGAATTCATCAGCAGACTGGGTGAATGGAGTCACGAACAAGCAACAAAGCTCGCAGGACTCAGGGTCCAATGTGTTACCGACCCAACAGGCAGCATGACGGAGGCAAAAACAAGGAGAGTCACCCTGAGACAACGGGACAGAGGAACCCTCAACTGTGGGGCCCGAGGGTCTCCACTATCGGACCCGAGAGCCCCGGGGGGTTTCCCAGGGCCCCTAGACTGGGTCTGCTAAGGGTTATCCCAGGCAGGGCACTGCTAACCGGCGTCCCAAACTACCAAGCAAACTGCTAAAGCTGAACCCACGGGACGTGTCCACCCGTGAGGGCGAAGCAGGGGGTGCCACCACACAAACGACCCTAATATAACGGGGAAGGGGGGGAAGAAACAAGGCAGACCCCCTACCAGGCAAAAACAAATATAAAAGAAAAACCACACAAGTGGACAAAGTACCCAGAGGGAACAGAGCCGGCCGCTTTTTATAGGTGAAAACTAGCTACGCAGTACCCTGCGCCCCACCAGTGCTATAACTACCACTTACCCCAAGGCAAACAAGGGAGGAAAACCCCTAAACACTCGGGGCGGCCAAACGCCAAGCAGCGAAAAGCCAACAGAGGTAGACCCATGGTGACTTGTGGAAGGCAACCCCAAGCCCCAAGGGCGGTACTTACAGGGCACTCAGGGAAGGTGACTCTAAGCACATGCAGCCCGAGTACTTGAGAATACTACTACCAGCTCACACGACCACCGTAAGAGCAGCACTGCAAACAAGTCACAGCACTGAGACAAGACCGGAGCTGAAGCCACACAACCATGCACTATCCCATCAGCCGAGGAACTGGGGCGGGGATCGCCGGCACAGGGGTCTGGGGCTCCCTCTTCCCCCCTCCCGGGGAGGGGGGAGCTGCGCAGATATGCGGCACGGCTCGTGTGACTTCATGCTTGTTAGTTCGTTTTTCTTGGGGAGTTCTGTCTACTCGTTTGTCGATTTTTGTTGTTAACCAGAATAAGGGTTTGTTTTGTGGCGCTTACCTTTCTGGGTGCCTGTCCCGGTCGATGGCAGATATAGAATGCTCCAAATCACATGTGCAATTCTATGGGCCATTGCTCCCCGTGCCTCTCTGAGGGGGCCAGGTTCTGGCCCGTGGTCCCCGGTAGGCCTAGAACTCCACCCACATCGACTGATGCAAAATAGTTAGGGTATCCATATCAGCCATGGATAGCTCCGGGGAGCAGTAGGAGCTTCCCCCAGAAAACATGCTTTTTTTGAAAAACAGCACCATTAGTTGGACGTAAGAGCAACACATGCTGTAATCTCCCAAAGTTCTTCACCGATTTCTTTGAAATTTTGACACAACGTTCCATTCGAATACGTGCATGTTTTTATATACCTACTATGTAGATGCCACCCCTGTGACAGGTAAAAACATGTATTTTTGAAAAACAGTGCCATCTGTTGCACATAAAACCAACACATGCTATACTAATTATGTTACGATTACATTTCAATGTTTCCGATTTCATTGATAAATTGAATTTTCATAGATTTTTATTTATTTTCATTTTGATTTAATTATTTTGTGTGATATTGCGTTGGAATTGAGCTGTGTTGTTTCCCATACCGTTCATTTCATGAGCATATTTTTTTTATTGTTTTTCATTTCGTTTTTTAATTTTTTTCTTATATTTCAGTGATAGGAAAGTCTGGGACCAGATTCACTATGCAGTTACGCAAGTATTTATGAACGTGTATATCTTTCCTCATTCTTTGATGGCTTTGGTTACATTTATTAAACAGTTTACAAGCATGAAAACTTGCCAATCAACTGTTGTTAGTGTTATAAACAGCCTCCTGGAGCTTTGGAGCTTATTAACTGTTTAATAATTGCAAACAAAGCCGTCAAAGATTGAGAAAAGATGTTTAGGTTCGTAAGTGTTTGCGTAACTTCTTCGTAAATCTTGCCCCAGATCATTTGATGTTCCCAATTTTCTGATGGGAACATCAGATCATTTGATCATCAGATGAGGGAGTGGGGAATGGTGGGATGGATGAGAGGATGGTAGTGGGGGATAATGGGGAGGATGAGGGGACAGGGTAATGGTATGGGAGGACGAAGGAACAGGGAAGTTGGGATAGTGGGAACAGGGGAATGGAGAATGGTGGGGAGAACAAGGGGACAAGGGAGTGGGGAATAGTAGGGAGGACGAGCAGATGGGGGAGGGGAAAATGGTAGGGAGGACAAGGGAACGGAGTAGTGGGAGATAGTGGGGAAGACGAGGGGACGGTGGAGTGGGGAACAGTTAGGAGGACGAGGGGATGATGGGGAGGAAAAAGGGATGAGGGAGTGAGGAATGGTTGAGAAGACGAGGGGATGGGGGAGTGGGGAATGGTTGGGAGGACGAGGGGACATAGGAGTGAGGAATGGTTGGGAGGACGAGGGGAAGGGAGGGGGGGAATGGTTGGGAGGACTGGGAGACCGGGGATAGGTTTCTGTGGCTCAGCAATGCACATGCGTTGCTGAGCCACAGCAATGTGCGGCCGGGTACAGCTAGTTATTATAATAATAATTGTTGTATCAGAATCATACTGAATCAGAATATAGGCCCTTGGGTTCTTTTTGACTCTGGGTGGTTCCTTGTTCCCTTGCAGAGGAAACAAGAAACTACCCAGTCACTCCCTCCTTGTTCTAACAGGAGGGTCTCCTGTTGCAGGCGGGTGTTACGGCCCTACTGGGATGCAACCAGGTTCTTCTCTGATGGTAGTAGAGTTTTGGAATCTGGCCCCAAGTTAGTAGAGGCTTTCAAGGGGTGTGTTCCGTAACGCAAGTTAAATTAAAGGGGGAGGGATACAAATGTTCCAGTTTTTCTGATATATTTACCACCACCATAAATAAATAAATAAATAACAGTCGCACGCGGGGATTATTACTACACTTATGTACAGTTGTGTCTTCCTCCGAAGACACTGGATGCTCAACGCTGCTCACTATGGGTAGCCCTGGTTCCTTCTTCCGTGGTCCACGATGAATCCACTATGACTATGACGAATCTACCCTGGCCACAGGCCAGCCAAATCACAGTCCCACTGGGTGCTTCGTCGTGGAGGCCTTCAACCACAATCCAACCTGTAGCTGGCAGGTACCAATCAGCTCCGCTGTGTAGGCCACTCCACGACCGATACTTAGGGTTGCGTGCCCTAGCCAGGAGCCTCGTGTGACTCGCTGGTCACTCTCCTCATACAGCACCCCAGTGGGTGGTCTCCTCCACCAGCCAACCCCGGATAAGGCGATTCCCAACACTGCCACTCCTCAGGCAAGCTATTACTCTCAACAGAGTTCGTCCAGGGATGGCTCACAGCTTCTTCAAAGCAGACTGATGAGGAGACCTTGGCTGCCTTGGGTAGACTGATCCATCGTCCAACACCGCAGTCCCAGGTCGACTCTGCAATCAGATACGTCATTAATACTGGGACGCTCTAGGGAACCTCACTTACAGGCTTAGACACAAACGTCCACCTCTTCACTCCATAGATGGCATTGCTGTCTAAGCGCCACCTCACCAGAGGTCAGCAGCGGCTATTCCACGAGCCAATTAAGAAGGGAATCCAGCACGTATTGCCGGCGTCTTTCGTCATCACTAGATGGCATCGTCCATTTGGAGGGGGTTCGGGAGCGGACTCACAGATGGCATTGTTGTCACTGCTCCGTGCTCCGACGATGGACTCGGGTCGTAACAGGGGGGCGAGGAGTTTTAATGTCCTTCCTTCCTGTATGAGAATGTTTATGTGCGGCTTCCCACAGGATTCAGTTCTGTGTGCCTCTGGGCCAATTGGGATCTTTCTTCCAGAAGTTTCCTTCCTCTCAAATCCCTATTTTGGAGGCTTGAGAGGCTCTCTTTACATACCTCTTGTGAGACCCAGATTTTGCCACTTTCTTGGTCCCTGCCTCTTTTTGGGTTTGGGTCTTCCTCTCCTTATTAGAGGCATATGAGGTTCCAAATTCTCCCTGGCTAGCAGACATCTTTTGATCATGCTTGGGGCTTGGCAGAGCTTTTGTCGTACCCAAATGCTTACACAGCGTAAGGTGTCCAAATGCTTACATAGCGTGAGGTGGCGACCATGTTCCAGGTATTCCAGGGGCCTTTTTTATATGCCCCTCATTGGCTGTCTGTTTGCTTTCAATCTTTCTGGGGATGTGGATCTCATTCAGCCCCATTCAAAGGTGCTTTTGCTGTTGGTGGCACTGGTTGTGGGCAAACTTCATGCTTATTAACATTTGGGTTCCATCATGTGGTTTGGGGCCTCCTTGAGCTCCATCTAAACACTGTAAATAGGTAAAAAAAAGTAAAATGGCTTACCGGTAGGACAAAGCAGTTGTCCGAGGGGTCATCAATAACAGTAACAGTCCAAATCTTGGTGTACAGTTGTGGTATAATATTGTTGGCCTGCAGTATTCGGTTACCCACCCTTTGAACTTGGTCAACCATATGGTGATTCTGTGGCAGCCTTTGATGTCCAAACTGTGCCATTTCCTGTCCAAATTTAGAAAGTAATGATATAAATATTGTAGGGTGTTTATTTCTTTGAGCTAAAACTACATGAAGCTTTAACCCATAAAATGTTATCATTATATGTTTATTGTCAGTGTAATGTTGTTATCATCGGGGCCTGACAGCTGAGTGGACAGTGCTTCAGATTCGTAGTCCTGAGGTTCCGGGTTCGATCCCCAGTGGAGGCGTAAACAAATGGGTAGTTTCTTTCACCCTGATGCCCTTGTTACCTAGCAGTAAATAGGTACCTGGGAGTTAGACAACTGCTACGGGCTGCTTCCTGGGGGGTGTGTAACAAAAAAGAGGCCTGGTTGAGGACCGGGCCGCGGGGATGCTAAGCCCCGAAATCATCTCAAGAAAACCTCGAGATATCAAATGATGATTTACGTTTTGTGTCAATGTTTAAATACCAATGTTGTCAATATGGTTCAAAAAGATCGATGGTGTCTCCTAGCAGTCATGGGAGGCAGCAAAATAGTAAGAAAGACTTCCTCTCCTGGTCTCAAATCATATGAAGATTGAAGCACATACCTAAATTAATAAAAAAACAGCATTGAATGTAATGAAACACCATTTTCTGGATGAGTCCCAGAGATTCCCCAGAGCTATCCCAGGCTGATATGCTAATATCAGACTTTGGCATCAGTCATGTGTATGGAGTTCTTAGGCCTACCAGGGACCACGGCCAGAAACGGGCCCCCCTCAGACAGGCAAGGGGAGCAATGGCCTATAGAAACCCCAGTGTGTTTGGAAGCATTCTCTATCTGCCATCGACCGGACCAGGCACCCAGAGAGGTAAGCGCCCCAAAACAAACCCCTATTCTGGTTAAAATTGCTATTAAAAGCCGAACCAGTGGATAGAACTCCCCAACAGAAAACGAGCCAACTAGTATGACGTCACACGTCGCTGCGCTGCTTCCCCCTCCCCGGGAGGGGGAAGGGGAAGCCCCAGACCCTTCACGCCGGCTACTCTCACCTCAGTTCTGAGGCTGGATGTCAAAAACATGTAAAAACACTGACTGAAGGGAGGGAAGGAGAGATGCTGGGGAGCCTCCGGGACTCACCCAGAAAATGACGTTTCATTACATTCAACGCAGGTTTTCTGGGGGGAGCCCCGTCAGCTCCCCGGAGCTAACTACCCACACACGGAAGAAGAGGGACTTACCCTGGAGGCGGTCATCGCTCACTCCTCAACTCGAAGCCGAGACAACTGGCTGCAACCGCCGACCCAAAGCAACACAGGTCCGATGGGGCCCAGGGACATTCATGAGGTAAGAAGCAGTCAGGACCCTGTTCGATTGCCAAAAACCCCTAGCCCGAATATCAGACCAAGACATATTCCCAAAGACGGCAGCAAGAGCCGCGAACTTACGGACGTCATGGGCACGGGGATAGACCGCAGGCTGGCTGGATTTGATAACCCTGCGGACGACCTGGGAGACCCGAACCTGCGAACAGGGAAGAAGAGAAACAGAATCAACCCAAAGCGCGTCCCCGGACACAGAAGCCGTGGCGCGCAAATAGCGGCGGAGCACCGCAACCGGACACAAAGCATAATGCACCCCCAGCCATACCAATCAAGCATCAACAACCCACGAACCCCTCCGGAATGCAGCAGACTCATTCCTCGCCAGAAAAGAAGAAGACGGCTGCAAGCGAACAAAACAATTGCCACAACCGAAAGAGGAGAAACCTCTGCGCCAGAGGAGAGCATGAAGCTCCCCGACCCGACCCCCAGCGGTTAATGCCAACAAGAAAAGAGCCTTGGAGAAACAATCCCAGACCGAAGGGGCCACAACAAAACAATGAGACGAAAGGTAAGCGAGCGCTCCATCCAAAGACCAGGACGGCTCGGGCGGCGCATGAGCATGCCGGAGGTGACACAAAGCACGAGACAGCCTGTGAAACGGCGCAGACGCAACATCGATACCGAAGGCAAGCTGAAGCGGCTCCGCCAGCGCCGCACGATACAAGGCGACAGTGTTAGGCATAAGATGATGGTCCTGAAACAAGCAGGAGAGAAAGGACAAGATCACCCTAACAAACAACGAACACGACGAAGATGCAAAAAGAAACAGAAGGACCGTCAGGAAACTTCATACTGCCCCCTAGAAGACACCCTCAGGTGGGACACCAACAAGGAGGCCACCTGATCACCATAGAGATGATGATAGACTCGAGTCAAAAAACCCATACGCAAAGACTCGAGAAGATCGAACCAGCCACATGACGTACTGGCCCAATTTGTTGAAAGAGGCGGAGCCACGGGAAAACCCTCGGGTTCAGACACCGAGCAAGCAGCGCCTGAAACCAAGGCTGGGCCGGCCACTAAGGGGACTAGAAGGACAACTCTCCCCAGGTAAGTCTCCAAGCGAGTCAGAACCTGGAGCAACAGCCAAATCGGGGGAAAGAGGGACAGGAACTCCCACCTCGATCAGTCCAGCTGAAAGGCATCGACCTGACGGCCTCGCGATTGGGGAAGGGCACCGCATACACGGGAAGGCGCCTCGTCCACGCTGACGCGAAAAGGTCCACCTTGGGGCTCCCGAACGTCTGGCAAAGCCAACGGAAGGAAGCGTCGTCGACCGTCCACTCTGTGGAGAGGGGAACAAAGCGAGACAGGCCGTCGGCCAAGACACTGGAATCTCCCTGTACGTGAACCACCAGGATAGCCAAACCCCAAGAACTCAGCAGACAAGTCACCCGAAGCGACCAACCCCAAAGAGACAAGGATCGCATTGAACCCCCACGGTTCAGGCAATGAACCACCGGAGAGCAGTCCGAATGGAGCCGAATCGTCGATCTGCGGGTGATCCGAATCCTCCGAAGAGCAAACCACACCACTGCGAATTCCCGCACAGTGCTGTGAGCTTGACAGAAGGACGGGCCCTAATGCCCCTGGCCAGCCTGGTGAGCACTGGTCACAAAGCCCCAGCTGAGACGACGCATCAGTGTACACATTGAGCAAAGGGCTTGGGTAGGCGTGAAGGCACTGAACCCCAAAAAACCCAAAGCCGGCGACACAGCAGCCGACGCAAGGCCCCCGGGGGTCATACCCAGCGATCGCGAGAGAGGCGGAAGGGGCGACCCTGAAGGAACCAGAACAGCCAACGAAGCCAAACCGAACCCGGCGGGTAGACTACCATCGCGAAGTTCAGGCTCCCACACAGCCCCTCGAGGAACCGCCGGGTGACCCGTGGGCCCACCAGAAACAGACGAAGGCGGGACCACAGCTGCAGGAGAGACTCCCGAGGAAGAGACAAGGAAGCTGTCCAAGAGTCCCAAACGAGACCCAGCCAAGTCTGAACCTGAGAGGGGACCAGATGGGACTTCCTCCAATTCACCAAGAACTCAAACCCGGCGAGCTGGGAAAGAACCAAATCCCTGGCTAGCAAGCAAGCCGACCGGCTGAGAGCCCAAACCAACTAGTCGTCGAGGTAGGCCAACACCCCTACACTTAAGAGATGCAAACGGGCCGCCATGACCCGCGTAAGGCGTGTGAATACGCGAGGTGCCAGGTTCAACCCGAACGGGAGACAACGAAAGCGGTAACGTAGATGCCCCACAACAAAACTGAGCCAGGCGCGGAACCTCGAATGAATCGGGACAAGCCAATAAGTGTCCCGGAGGTTCAGGGACACCATTCAAGCGTCCGGTTCCAAGAGGAGCCGAACCTGAGACAGCGTAGTCATCCGAAAGGAGGAGCAATGAACCAAGGGGCTCAGACGGGACAAGTCCAGAATGAACCACAGGTCCGAGCAGTCCCGTTTCAGGACCGGAAACAGACGGGAAACCCCATCTGAGGGACAACGTCGTTTCGACGACAGCCAAGCGAACCCACTCCAAGACGACCTGACAGAGCGCGGGGGAAGAAACTTGCCCTGCCAGCCCTGACCCCCCAAAGGGGTAGCCACCCAATGCCACCGCAGGCCGACAGACACGACCCGAAACACCCACGAGTCGTGGCACCAGGCGTGGGCGAACAGCGCAAGCCTCCCCCCCCATCACCCCGTCAAGGGGGCAAACCGCGAAAGGGCTGGCGTTCCTTATGAGACCCAGAACCCCTCACAGAGCGAACACCGCGCCGACCAGACGAGGGCAGGTCCGAAGCAAGAGCCGAACCCGAACCTGATACCAGTGGCCTACCACAACGTGAGGAACCCCGAGCCCTGGCATGACCTTTCCGAGAAGACCCACCACAGGACCCCCGGAAAACCAACAAGTCCGACATTGGACGACAAGCCGATGACGCAGCCAGGATAAACTGCGCCACGGCCAACTCCTCAAACAGAAGAGGACAAAAAGGCGACGACAGCCTAAGAGCCAGAGCCCAAGCAGATTCCATGGAAGAACCCAGCACCTCCTGCCGACACGCGAGACAGGAAGCATAAAACTGGGAAGCCGTATCCCGCAATATCGGCGCGAAAAGCTTCAACAAGGCAGCTGTTGAATACGCTGCCAAGGACAAGGCACCGGACCCCGGGACAGACCCAATCACCTTCACATCTTCCACGAGCCAATCCGAGGACAGCTTCAGGAGGGAAAAAGAATCACAAGGTCGGAGCCAAAAGGCCCCAGGCGCGCAAGTCCTCCACCATGAGTGCCAACGAAAGGGAGGGTACCTGCACATGGAGCTGAACAACGCCCACATTGTGGGGAAGGGCAAAGGCAAACAAACACTCATTCGGGTACTCAAGATCACCCCCCCAGGAAAACCTGAATCACAGTGGAAGCTTCCTTCCACTCTAGCGTGCGGGAACGACAGAAGGAATGCCAGGAATCCAGAACAAACAACGGGCAGTCCGCTAGCCAGGAAGACTCCGGAACCTCGTAACGGAGTCAGCAAGGGAACGAGGTCCCAAACCTGAATTCGAATGGATCCATTTCCGAGGCATAATCTGGGTCATGCAAGAGGTGCGCTGCAAGGGCCGCCCACATCACACCAGGTTGGATGCGATAAGCCGAAAACCTCCGGAAAGACG